CAGCAGCAGTCAGCAGTAGCAACAGCAGAACGCTAGAAGCAGGGGTGAAGTTCCAGGCTGATTGGGCGTTGAAGTTAGCACGATGTGCTCTATGGTGTGTGGGGTTAAGGGTGACGCGACGACTTCTGCGCAGCTGAAAGAAGCTCTGGCTTCAGACTGGGAGATGTGGCTGGTGGTCTTGATACTGGTTATAGCTGTGGTGGCTGTGTGGGAATGCTTGAAGGGCTCTACAAAGAAGGTTGTGAGCTTGAAGGCGATGAAATCGGGAGAAAAGGCCGAACACCGTGAAGTGTTGGCGTTGCTGGCCAAAGCGAGGAGCCTGGAGGAAGAAGAGAGGCTTCGTCATTTGGCTGCGAAGTATTTTCCAGAGCGTCGTGAAGCTGGACCCTCTACATCAGTGCAGGTGAGAGATGGGGTGACCTCAGTGCGTGTGGGTGGTTTGGGCGAACCTGGTGGAGTTGGACCGAGGGCAAGCAGTGCTCCGGCCAATCGAGTGGTTGCCGTGGATCCTACAGCCCTATTTCCTGAACGTCCTGTACGAAGAGACATTGGGGTTCAGACGCAGGAGATGCTACCGGCTTCGACACCGACGGTGGTGCAGGTTCCGTTCGATGGGGTCCTGTACCATGGTCCTGGAGGAGATTGCTACCACTGGCATCGTGGATGTTGGGGTCTTCGCAATGTGGGCCAGGTGTCGCAGAGGACGCTGTGCAGATGCTGTCGAGAAGCTGGTGGACAGTCGCTATATGGGAATGGTGGGCAACAGCGAAGCTTGAGACCTACCAGAACGGGCTGAATGGGCTTGCGAGAAGAGCGAGCTTGTTGGGCCGTGGCGTGGAAGTTGGACATTGGCCGTGTGAAAAGGGAGGCCAAAGGTTCGACCGAAGATGGTGTATAGGGCCATTGGCCAGTCTTGAGGACCCACCGCTTGGAGAGCATGGGTACCTATGGCAGTCAGTTGGACTGCCAAAACGCCTTGTGAGCCTACCTTGACAGGTGGCTCAAGGAGGGGTGATGAAAGGTGTGGAATGAGACGCACCCTGTGGCTTTGGCTGTTGTGGTTCCAGGACATGCCGTAGGCATCGGAACACAAGTAGCGAAGCAGCACAAGACATGCAGGCAACAGGTCGCATGTGCTTTGTGGGTTCTGTTCTGGCCGTGTGTTGTGTGGTCGCCTTCTGTGGTAGGGGTAGGACCGCCTGACTGGCCAATGGACTTCGTGCTGCAGTGTGAGGAAAAGTGAACCTCTGGTGGTGCAGCTGTGTTCGTACAAGGAGTACAAGCAGAGCCACACAGACAGACGGGAGCCAAGCAACCCCCAAGCTACCATGTCGTTTGCTGGACCTCAAGAGCCCCGCGCTCTTGACCCTGAACCCTAAACCCTAAACCCTAAACCCTGAACCCTAAACCCTAAACCCTAAGGGACTCGCACCTGCGCAGCAAGCAGAGGCCGACGCCAGCAACCGCCAAGCTGGCCAGCGTCCACGGCCACACAAAGTCAAGGCTGGAGCCCTCCCCAGTGGCAGGCTTGGGTTTTTAGGGTTTAGGGTCTGGGTTTAGGGTTTAGGGTTTAGGGTTTCGGGTTTAGGATTAAGGGTGTAGGGTTTAGGATTAAGGGTTTAGGGTTTAGGATCCCCCTTGAAGGGCTTCTAGGGCTTCCAGGGCCTCAGGGTTGCTTAGGACTTCCGGCTCGACACGGTTCAGGGCCCAGTGGAGGGATGATCTGAGCCCAAAAGCTCGAACTGGGCCCTCCAAACCCTAAACCCTAAACCCTAAACCCCAAACCCTAAACCCTAAACCCTAAACCCCAAACCCTTAACCCTAAACCCTAAACCCTCAGCTCCCGGCCCGAAACCCTACGTGCAAGTTGCGACGCTTCTTCGTAGCAGCCGTCGTCGCAAGTCAAGCCCCTGGTTTCTTCTTGGGGTGAAGAGCAGGTATTGTTGCCAGATCCTCCAAATCAAAGTCAAGTCTGAGGAGTCAAGTTTTTCGGATTCAGAGGACCGGACCTGCAGGTCGCTTCGATTTCCGCGACGAAAACAAAACGCGGGGTGCCCAAGTAAGGGGTTTCGAGTCTTGGGCTCTCGTCGGGGACTTATTGGGTTAGGGTCGGGATTAGGGTTTATGCGTGCGGTCTTGCGGACTGTCTCGAAGAAGAAGAAGAAGCTCCTGCAAACCTGAAGCCCAAAACCCTACAGACTGCAACTGGTACGGGGCCTAAACCGTAAACCCCAAGACCCCAAACCCCAAAACCTAAACCCTAAACCCTAACCCCTAAACCCCAATCCCTAAACCTTATGTTAAACCCCCTAACCCATGGCCTCCTGAACTTCAGCCGCAGACGGCAAGGCCGCAAGCTCTCGTAGGCGCTCACCCGAGCACGGCCTCCCGGGTCTTGGGGGCTTTTTACCTTGTAGAAGTGTAAAATAAATAAATAAATAAATAAATATATATATATATATGTGCACATTGCATATGGGTTTTTTCAAGAAGCATATTGTACATATATATATATATACACACACATACTGGAGAGGGTCAGCAAAGATTTTTCGGGTTAGGGTTTAGAGGTTTCGAGTCGAGCCCCCCGAATCCCTTTCGACTCTTTGCAGGTAGCCTTAGTACCTTAGAAGTGGTCTGAAGGGGGTCTTGGAACAGTAAGCCATGAGGGGCACAACCAAGGATGCACTTGTCAAGACTCGGTTGTGGCTACTCCGGTATCAAGGGCCCGGAGAAGCCTTGCCACTGGCTTATGGCTCTCGTCTAGGCGTGCGGGGTAGGGTTTGTGCGTCCGGGATGTTGACGAGCTTGGGGACCTAGGGTAGCAGAGGGGCTGAAGCCCCAATAGATGCTAGCATCCAACTTCGTGATTCCGATGCTGGGAGGACAAAAACTCAACCCCAAACCACGGAACTCGCCCCATATCTGACGCACAGCCGACCCTGAAGATTTCGGATAAAGGAAGGAGGCTGAAAGCAGAGATTTCTTGTGGGTGCAGCGAACTTTACAAATCGATCTGTATCAAAAGTACAACAATACATTGCAAACCATGGGTTGAGGATTCTAGGTTCAGACTTCAGGGTTGAGTGCTTGAGGGGATGAGAGGTAACACCGCTCAAATCAAGGGTATAGCTGCCGGGATAGTCCCAACTCCCAACAGCAATGGGCACTTGCGGCAAGAGGTCAATCCTTGACCCTCAACCCTAACAAAGACCCTTAACCTTAAACCTCCTGGGGCGGGCCTGTTGCCCGGCCAGGGAACAGCGTCCTCGAACACTAGCGACGGCGGATCGTTTCCTGCACGACTTTCGCGGTCTAGGAGGCAACGCAAGAGATCCAAGGTTTGGACTTTAGGGTTTAGGGTTAGGGCTTCAGGACTCGGAGGCTTTCGTTTAGGGTTTGGGCTTTCAGGTTTCAAACACGCTGAACGAGAACGAGCTGAGTTGGAGGACTCTGCAGCGATAAAGGACCTCAAGGTACAACTACTGGAGCCCTACCGGGAACCATAAACCCTAAACTCTTTAAACCTTAAACCCTAAACCGTAACGATTGTGTCATGTTTTTGTCAATAGACTGTAGTGAAGTTGCCGTAGTCGTGCTTGCACGTAGTCAAAAAACAACCTGGAGTTTCCACGACCTTAGCTCCGCCTGTCACCGTCTTTCGCTCCAATATTGGCATACAATAGGTTATTCGCACAAAAAAGAGGCTAACCGTTAACCTCACTAAACTCTGACCCTGAAGGCCCCCAAAAACCCCTAAAACCCCCAACAGCCTCAAACCCCCAAAGCCCAAGACCCTGTAAACCTCTTTGGCGCCAAGCCTGCAGGCCAATCCAACCACCGCTGCACGGCCCAAGCTAAAGTCCTTCCGCTGGATGCAGGCACCTCCCACTGAGTCACACGCGCTCGGGGGTCGGGATTCTGCCAGGTTTGTAGCGGTTTGGGGCAGGGTATATGGTTGTAGGGGTTTAGGGGTTGCAGCGCTTAGGGTTTGGGGTGTGAGGGCAATAAGGGACTTAGGGTTTTCCTTACCCGCCAGAGGGCCCAAAGCCCCAAAGCACGAACCCCAAACATCCCCAAGCAGATAAGCACTTCAGCCCCAAACCCCAAACCCTAAACCCCCTAAACCTCTCCCAGCTGAACCCTATAGACTACACTACAAACACCAAACCTTACAAACCCTACAACCCTACAAACCCTGCAGACCCTACAAACCCTACAACCCTAAAACCCCAAGCCCTACAAACCTACACCCTAAACCCTACAAACCCGACTGCTTCCGACTGCGCCAGGTGGCCTCCCACGTGCTGTCCGTCCAGCGGCCCCAACCCAACGTGTGATCCTTTGGGCTCTGCAACTTCGGAGGGCGCTTTAGGGGTTTCATTTGGAGTTCTTTGGGGTTTAGGGTTTTTTGGGTTCTAGGGCTCTGGAGATTTTATGGTTTGGGGGCTTTTGGGTGGTATAATGAAGTATAATCAGGCTGTCATGAGCATTGCCTCGGGCCATCGCACCCACTGGAGCGCTTCCCGACATCCTTGCAAAACCCTGGCTGGAGCACGCCTGTAGCTTCAGTGAGAGTTCACAGATCCCATGATAAGCCCAAACCCTCAAGCCTCAGCACCCTCCAACCTAAACCCTAAACCCTAAACCCTAAACCCTAAACCCTAAACCCTAAACACGGCTTACGCTGCGAAGACACAAAACGCTTTGCCATGATGCTTCGAACCCTGGGCCTTTAGATCCAAGGCTTCACAGGGTTTAGGGTTCGTAGGTTTTACCCTTAGCCCCTAAACCCTAGTCTTCAGGCACGGAGTGTATACTTGAGGGCTTATATAGGATTCATTTAGGGCCCTATCAATTAGGGGGCCTGAAGGGCTTCTTGCTGAGGTCGCTTCGATGCACGCGATGGCCCACACGCCATTGCCAGGCCGCTGCAGGGCGTCCTGTGCTGAGGTTCAGGGTTTAAGTGCAAGGTGTCCAGCGCGGGTTTGGGGAAACCGTCACTTGGGCATGGGGAAGCAAAGGGGTATGAGACCTTTCAGAGTTCGGGGATTGAGCGTGTGCCGGACCGAAGGATTCAAATCCTCCTTGCAGGGCCTCAAACTGTCTGTCCTTGATCCTGCAGCACATGCAGCCGTGAGCTGCATTGATAGCGCGCTTCTCCCGAAATACCGAACTTTTGATAAGGCCTGGATGTAGATGCCCCCCCCCCCCCCCCCCCCCTTAACCCTCCGCGACCTGGCCTTCCATCCCGTAAGGTGACCCGAGCGCAAGCTGTCGTACTGCTGCATCTCCGCCGGCGTGCAGGGGCGCTTCCAGTAGGGGCAGCTCCCCGGGCAGCAGTCCAGCCCCAGAGAATAGGTGATTTCGGACCTTGCTTTTTAGGGTTGTTAGCTGTGCTGATGCTTTAGGGGGGGGTTTAGGGTTTAGGGTTTAGGGTTTAGGGTTTAGGGTTTAGGGTTTAGGGTTTCGGGCTTAGGGGGATGAGGGCTTCGGGAGCCGAATCCTGTAAGCTTAGCAGTGCATGGCATGAGAGGAAGTGTCACAGTGCGGCTTCAAAGGGGTTTGGGAGGCTTGGGGTACCAGGCCCTGTGTAGGGGCTGTGGGATTCTTGTGGTTTAGGGCCCTAGAGGGCTTCAGATGTCGAGGGGTTTTAGGGGGTTTTGGGGTACATGTCCCGGCGACGAGTCATAGAGGCTGTTGACGATGAAAAGCCGAGTCTGTATGAGATCCACAAAGTACTCAGGGAAGAGGCACCTGGGTTGCTCTTGGATTCGCATCACCAAGGCTTTCTCTATTGGACTGCCTGATACTCGGGTTTTCATAAGTCTTCCCAGGAGCCGCCACGGCTCAGACGTATACTTTTCGAGGCAGCCAGCATGCAGGCTGCTGTAGCCGCCCGAAACGTTGAAAAGGCTGATCATCTGGTTCGGCCAGCAACGGACTCCTCGGTGGGCGTCGGAAAACCCCAAAGAAGAAACCAAAACTCCTCTTCGAACCTAAGCTCGAAAACTGCGCCCCCTAAGTTGGTGCTTTGGAGTCGTGAACTTTTTTTGTTAATTCATTATGTTTAAAAGCCATTTGCCAAGCCTCCCTGAAACCCATACATCAACATGCTAACGCCCTGTAAGTGTCAAAATGTGTATTCAACGAGGTTTAGGGTTTAAAGGGTTCAGGGCTTCTTAAACAAGGCTTATAGTGCTTAGGGTCTATAGGGTTCAGGGCTTCTTAAACAAGGTTTAGTGTTTAGGGTCTATAGGATTCAGGGCTTAGGGCTTCTTAAACAAGGCTTATAGTGTTTAGGGTCTATAGGGCTTCTTAAGCAAGAGATGTTGAACTTCCAGCTCCTTGGTGGTCCGGCACGTCGAGGAAAAATCCCGCGTCGGGTAGGGCCAGGACTTCCATCTGCTTGCCTCGGCTCCCCACAAGTGCAAGAGCCACCAGTGCAGTTACGCCGGCTTCATAGAGGGAATCTCACCAATCCTACACATTACCCGAAACCCTAAACCCTAAACCCTAAACCCTAAAGGCCCTAAACCCTAAACCCTAAACCCTACACATGATAAAGCCTCAGAAGCCCTCAACGAAACAAGGAAAAAGGGTACCATTAGGGGGGGAGGTGCAAGACTCGTCCCTGTCATCCCCGGCACCTCAGGGCTGTCGAGGACTTTTCAGGTTGAACGTAGGGCTCAGGTTGCAGGATGTCCTAAACCCTAAACCCTAAACCCGAAACCCTAATTAAACCCCAAACCGGGGTTTGAAGGCGTACGGCTTAAGGTTTGGAAGGTGGGCGAGACCGCTTCACTCCCGCTTCCCACAGTCTACGGCCTTTCTTCCAGACACTGCACGTAGGGTTTAGGGTTTAGGGTTTAGGGTTTAGGGTTTAGGGTTCGGGGTTTGGGGTTTACTGTTTGGGGCTTAGAGTTTTGGGTTTAGCGTTCAGGGAAGCAAAAGCATTGTACCGGCACAACACCCCCGCCTACGGCACTGTTCAGCATGCTCAGCATCCTCTTCTGAAGTGTCTGGAAAGGCGCGCAGCCACCTTCCTTGAGACGCTTGGCAATGTAGTCCGCGTGGAAGTAGACAGCACTGGCACCTGCACTGCCTCCACTCACTACGACGCGGGACGCTTCAAGGATACCTTCCTTGGATTCAAGCTCAGTCAGAACAGCCTTCAAGATCTGTTCGCCCTTGAAGTGCAGGTCGTCAACCACCGAGTTGCCAGTGAAGCTCGCCCCATCACAGTAGGGAACGTACACGAGAGTCCAGGTGCTGAAGACCGGGTTCACCTTTGGGTCTGCGCTCAGATATCCCGAAAGAAAGTCCGCCGATTTGGTTTGTGCCCAGCGTTTGCCTTGGCTGCTCACGGAAGCCTGAAGAAAATGCAAGCTCTTTTCGTCAAAAAACTATGGCCCTCAGCGAACGGCCTATGTACAAGTAGTTACTCGTACCAAGCTATCCGCTCCATGGCGCTGGGTCTCAAGCCCAGTATATACAAGCAAAGCTCAAACTGCGAGCGCCATCTCTATCCACCTCTACAGCAGTGTCGATGCCTCATCTCTACAGCCTAGGCAACAAATAGCCCCCCCCAAAACAATAAAGAAAGAGCGGTGCTCTCCAATATATCGAGAGTGGCTGGAGCCGAGATGTCCGCCAGAGCGCTTCCGGCAGTCCATGAGAGTGCCATCGGCGCTGGGGGCTTTGCAGTTCCTCCGATGGCTTCAGCCCAGCAAAAGAAAGGACCCCAACCCCCCACCCCCCTCCACCCCCGAAGCACCTCAGGCCTCGATTGAAAGGGCCCCTGGGCTTTTGTGCTGGGGTTAGGAGGCTCGGGTTGAGGGCTTCAAAGTCTTGTAAGTTTTGTAAAGGTCGTTGGTGTGAGTTGTGGGGCCTAGGCTCAAGGAGAGGATGGGGTTCTTGGGATTTGTATGGTTTAGGGTTTAGGTAGGTTGATAATGGACCCTGAAACTTGAAGGTTTGCACTACAGGGCTGATAGGAAAGTCTTGATCATGCGAAGTTTCTGGTCATAACACCAGCCGCCACCCTCGAGGTGGAGCAGGAATTTGTCCTTAGCCAGGGTTGAGAGGCCGAGGGTGGACTGGTACACTCAAATTCCAACCCCAGGTTGACCCATGATGTACCCTGTTGGAGGCTCGAACTCTATGATTATTATTTACTATTATTTACTAGCTAAACTTATCGTAGAGACCCAGATCAAGCCCTTTAGGCCCTCTGGACAGCTGGGCATCCTTCTCCTGGCCTGGGCGTATGTAGTAGCCGGCCATGCTGCCGTCCAGACACCGAGCCTCTGGGTACTTGTCTTCAGAGAGCAGTGACAACGTCGTCTGCGCACTGCCACCACCGCACTTGCATCCTGCGCACTTGCATCCCCAGTCGCGGCCGAGAGATTCGCAGGTGTACTTGCCAGCACCCCACTCGATCCACTCGTCGCAGGTGTAGCCTGGGAACAGACAGACTAGAATAGCCTATCACGTCCAGCATATGTCTAGAGACCCCGAAGCCCTCAACCCTCAACCCTAAACCGTAAATCCACCCTACCACCAAGACAAGCGACTTCCACACTTCTCGCATTCTGCGGGCTTCTCGCCCCCGCATTCAACCGCAAAGTCAGAGCAGCAGTCGCCATGAGCCTGCCAGCGCTGTGAACACAAAACGAGCATATAAGGAGTAAATCCGGGGTTTAGGGTTTAGGGTTTAGGGTTTAGGGTTTAGGGTTTAGGGTTTAGGGTTTAGGATAGGGCTAAGGGTACATGACTTGAAGGTCCGGGGGCAGCGAGTTGGCCAAAACCACAGCAACATTATAACCCCACAACGCATAACCTCCTCTCTCCGCGCTCGCCGGCCTGGCACGCGTCGTTGCACCAGCAGTCCTGGCATCAAGGCTGAGAGTTGAAGCCAGAGTTGCTGTTATGAAGTGAATTTTACCGAGTTCAGGGTTCATGCTTTGTGCTTGGGGTTTTGCGGTGGCTCCATCACGTAAACCATCCAGCAACACAAAGCAGTATGACCTTCTCTCAGGGTCTGCAGGTTTGCGTGCAACAAAGGAGGCTAGATAAGCCTCAAAAAAGGCCTGTAGGGTACCGCTTCGAGGCAATGCCAGAAGCCAAGAACCGTCTCAAACCCGAAAGCCCTGACCTAGCCCTAGACCCCCCCGAAGTACCCTAAATTCGGCCCCTCAGGGGCTTAGGGAACCCGTAAACCCTAAACCCTAAACTCGTAAACCCTAAACGGTAAACCTCACCCTGAACCCTAAACCTCAAAACTGAAGTGGGAGGGTTCAGGGTCACCTTTGTTCGCCCGCCTCGGCCCAGGATCCGCACTTCCCGGCACAGGAGCTGCTTGATCCGGAGCCCGCGACCACCTGCTTGGGGGTGCAGGGTTTGGGGTTTAACTAGGGTTTGGGGTTTAGGTTTTTGGGTTTGGGGTTTAGGGTTTAGGGTTTCGGGTTTAGGGTTTGGGATTTAGGGCTTGGGGTTTAGAGTTTGGGGTCTAAGGTCTAGGGTTGGGGGTCTTGGGGTTTACATTGGGTGGCGCTTATAGGGCTATGCTGCTTCTTGGGGATTTAGGGTCTAGATTTTTTCTGGCTTCTGGGTTTGAGGCTTTAATTGTTTCTAGGCTTTAGGGTTCATGATGTGTCTTTGATTTGGCTTGCTTCTGGGTTCTTGAGGAGCTTTCGGAGCTTAGGCTCCAGACGGCGGCACACTACACTGACTGTAGCCAAGCCGCAAGCGTCGCCAGCAAAGACAGCCGGGGCCTGAGCTTAAGGTGTTCGGTTTGGGGTTTGGGGTTTGGGGTTTGGGGTTTGGGGTTTGGGGTTTGGGGTTTAGGGTTTAGGGTTGGGGTGGGGTATCTCGCAGAGGCATGAGGCTTAGGGCTTGAAGAATCTCAGACAGTGCATCTGACGCGCAGCCAGGCAACATGAGCGCGGCTGCTCCCAACCCGTGCACGGCCACAGCTGCAGTGGCCATGGCAACGAGTGGCTGAGGTCAGAGCTTTAGGGGTTCTTTAGGGGTACCTTAAAGCTGCGCACGAGACTTTACAGCATCGTACAGTCGTACAGCCTGAGGCCAGAACAGTAACCACACTCACCACACTCTACATACAACTCAAACATGAAACAGCTTTCAAAAACGGATGTCTAAACCCAAAGCCCTTAAACCGTGGTAACCCTAAACCCTACAAAACCTAAGCCTCCCAAGGATCAATGCGGCGAGCCTTGAACCAATGCTTCGGATGCTATACTCCTAAACCCTGCAGACTCTTGCAGGCCCTAGGGCCTTTTGTTGCCCTGTAACCCTCAAACCTCTTCAACCCAAACTCGAGTACACAGGGTTCAGGAATTTTGAAGGTATTGCGGTTTGAGGCTGTCGCATGTTTGGAAGTTGAGAGTCGACAGGACTTCAGGATCGAGGTTTCGGGGGTGTAGGGTTGTCACGTGACGCGGGTGAGCAACACGGGCTGCCAAAGGGAGTAAGCCCGAATTGCAGAACTCAAAGTCTGAGCCAATGACTCACAAAGAAGATTGGCCTGTAGATCCTCAACCCTAGAAGCCCTAACCGCCCGCGACAGCAGATCGGATCACTTTCCACTCAAAGCCCCTAAATCCCAAAATCCCCCCCCCAACAGGGCCCTCGCTCGACAAGAGGAACCAGCCCCAACCGTTCATGGTTTTAGGGTCCCTCTAAGCTTTAGAAGGCAGCCCTCAAGCCCAGAATACAAAGGCCTCAAGCCTAAACCCTAAACCGAAACCCTGAACCCACAACCAGACATCTTAGCTCCTGAAGGTCCCTTGAGGTCCCAATGAATCGTCCCTCCCGAGAGCCTCTCCCGTCTTGTTGCGCACCAAAAGCTTCCGCCCATCGAGGTGGCTCACAACGATCCTGGCTGTGCAGGTATGGGGTTTTGGAAAATAGGGGTGCCGTTTTTTGGGGATTCGATTCTATTTGTGGTAGAGAAGGGGTATCCTTAGATTGGAAATACCCAAATAGAGTTGAGGTTGAAAGGGAATTCGGGCCGCATGCAATGCAAAGGGTTTGGGGTTGAGGGAATGAGGTCTTGAATGTATAGGGTTTAGGGTTGAGGGAATTCTGCCCTCATGGGACCAAACAAGGGATGCCACCTGTCCTGTGAAGGGAGCCCTGGTCTGAGGTAACCCCGAAACCCCAATCCCTCAGCAACTCAAAAGCGGGGCATGCCAACCTTCAAGCTTTAAAACCCCCTACAACCCAAGAAGCCCGAACAGCGCACAAGGGGGCCACAAGGGTCACTTGGATAGCATTCAGTCATCAGATGCTATGCGCTTGCCGGCCGCCTGAAGCCAGTCAGGGCCTGTGCCAGGCTCAGCTCAACCTGCATGTAGAGGTCGGCCTGCCGAAGCCAAAAGCGAAGATGGGCAAAAACCAAGAGTGCCAGCAGCTAAGGTCTTCAATGGCACCGTGTGTCCTCAACAGCATTGGCCGGAGTTAGAGAAGCTCACGCAAAAAGTACCCTGGCGATGCTTGGGCGCCACGCATTCCCCGAACATGCGGCTTGGATCAACATCCGTGAAGCAACTTGGCCTCTTTTCTCAGGAACTGGCTGTGTTCCTCTGCGGCATCACTCTGAGGTGCACAGGGCTTCGTGTGTGTTTGGACACAACTTGTGATACTGTTACGAAAGGCTGCTAGAGCGCAAGTGTGCAAAGCCAAAGTGTCCACTCTCGGAGAAGGGGACTGTTGAAGATAAAGGGCCCTGTGAACACGACCTCGCAACAAGAAGGCGCCGGAGTTCATGTCCTGCTGCCTGACCACCACGACAACGTCCCCGGGCTCAGCGCCGGGAGCTTCATCGGCCTGTGTGGGAGGAGGGGCTGCAGACACCCTGGAGCAAGTTGTAAGTACTTTACACAATAAAGAAAATTCTGGCCTTGAAACGTGTCGTTTAAGGGTAGAATTGACCCCGTGCAACATGTTTCCAGGGCCTGGCTCCCTGGGATGCACAAGGGGGCCACGTTTCAGGGAGCCTTCGGGGACCCTGGCTTTGAGACGAGTACCCTTATGGGGAAGCGGAGGTTCGTCCGAGCTGATGAGGGTTGGGGAATTCGACACCCTCTCTTTTCGATTTTGACGCCGCCGACGCAAGATGACTGAAGTATGGACATTCTAAAGGACGCTAAAACGTACACCTGCAACCTGGAACCCTCGGCAGGTATTAAAAGCCGCGCACGACCTTGCCGTGCATGGTGATCTTGTGACCGTCGGGGGTGCCCTTGTCCACGAAGACCTGCAACACCTGCGAGGTCGATGGCTTGTTACTTATGGCGGTCAGGATTTAAGCTGAAGGATTAGGATGTTTAAGGGCGAGGTACTGAGCATGAAGGGTTCATGGTTGAGGGCTTAGTTTAATGCATTCCTTGATCCCCACCACTCCGCATACATCGAATTCCCGAAACACCCGCCCACAGTCGCAATATTAATTAATATTAATTGATTTCAAGCAACTTTAATCAATTTTATTCAATTCATTCAATGTTAATCAATGTTAACTAATATTCTTTAGTTTTTATTTAATTTTCAGTACATGCATACTACAGTTTATGAATGTTTAGTGAAACTTACTTAATTTAATTCTATTTCATGTCAGTTCAATTTAATAGTATGTAAATCCAATAAATTGTAATTCAGATAAATAATTATTTTAATTCAATTTCAGAAATTTTATATTTATGTTGATTTATTTTTAGTCATTTTAATAGTTTACCTTTGCATTTTTGTAATTTCAATTCTTTTGAAAGTTTTTGAATTTTGTTGATTTTCACAGAATTTTCAATATTTTTTAACGCGTTTAAATAATTTTGCTTCATGTTCATTAATTTTTGTTAATTTCGAATAGTTTTATAATTGATTTCAATTGATTTTCATTATTTTTTTTGGAATTTTTGATGAATTTTGATGAGTTTTTTACATCTTTTTACTTTTAATTAGTTTATGTTAACTCTATTATTTTAATTGATTTCAATTACACTGAACTAATATTGCTGAATTCATGTTAATTGATTTGAATAATTTGTACTAATTTTAATAGATTTTAATTATAATTTGATTGTTTGAACTAAACTTTATTCATGTTTGAATAATTTTAATTCTTGAATAAGTACTGAGTTTTTGTCATTAATAACTATTTAATTTTATTGATGTTAATTGTTTTTAATTGGTTTTACTTAAGAATTTTAATTAATTTGAATTTATTTTGATTAATTTTATTGGTCTGTCAGTTAATGTTAATTGATTTCATTTTAATTAATTATAATTCATTGCAATGACTTTTTAATTAATAAAAAAATTTTCACTAGTTTTAATTCATTTTGGATTGAATTAATTTGGAAGAATTTGAAAAGTTTGAATTTTTATTCATTTTGTTCAACTCTAATTGTTGTTTTAAAAAAAGTAATGTTCTTGATTTGAAACTGATAAGTCTTAATTTGTTTAAATTTAGAATTGTAAAGCAAGATGAAAATTAATCAATTCTAATTGAACTAATTACAATTAATCGAAATTGATTATAATGTATTGAATTAAATACTTATTAATTGAAAGGAAATAATTTTAATCATTTTTAATCATTTAATCATTTTTTCTTACTCTTCCAAATTTCAATGAATTTTTCATTAATTTTAATTACTTCTAATTAATTTTGTTTTATTGTAAATAACATTTAATTTTGCTTTTTACTTTTAATGTATTTTGGTTAATTTTAATTAACTTTGACTAATTTTAATGAATGTTAAGAAATTTTAATGAATTTTACTTAATTTTCATTAGCAATATTTTATTTTTAGAAATTTTAATCAATTTTAATTAATTGTTTAGTCTTAACTACTAATTAATTTCAATGAATTTTAATTAATTTCAATAATTCTTTATCTAATCTGGATTAATTCCCCACATCTTTGCGCGGGGTTCTTACTTTTGGGGCTGTCCCGCTGCCTCCTCTTCCTCCGCCTCCTCCTCTCCTCCTTCGTAACACAATACGCCACGCGCACCGTGCACCACGTCACCAACCACGTCACCGTCACGCACACGCCATACACCACGCGCACCATGTACCACGTCACCAACCACGTCACCGTCACGCACACACCATACGCCACGCACCATACGCACTATGCCACTATACGCACCATGCACCACGCACCATGCACACGACAACGCGCCACGCACCATTGCCACGTTACCGTCATGCACACACCATACACCATGCGCACCATGCACCACGTCACCAACCACGTCACCGCCATGCACACACCATAATTACACCATACACACGCATTATGCCACTATACGCACCACGCACTACGCACCACACACGACAACGCGCCACGCAATTTTAATTAATTTTAATTAATTCTAATCAATTTTAATATATTTTAATTAATTTTAATGAATAATTTTATTTAATTTTATTTAATTTAATTAATTTTCTTTACTTTCAATTCATTTTAATTAATTTTCAATAATTTTAATTACTTCTAATTAATTTTTAATTGATTTTAATTCATTGTAATTCATTTTGAGTAATTTTCCTTAATTTTAATTGATTTTACTTGATTTTAATCAATTTTAATTACTTTTACTTAGTTTTCTTGAATTTTTAAAATTTTAGTAAATTTGAATTAACTGAAAATGATTGAAATTAATTTCATTGAAGTTTGTTTAATTGTAATTCATTTTGGTTTAATTTTAATGGTTTTTAATGCATTTTAAATATTCCAAAATAAAATCTTAGTTTTGATTGATGTAATTTTTTTTCATTAACCCAAACCAACGGCAACCAACCCAAGCAACCCGAACCCCTTTCACAAGTTTTAACAATTAATGTTAATTAATTTTCATTAATTTTCATTAATTTGAATTAATTTTAATGAATTTTAATAAATTTAATTAATTTATATTAATGTTAATTAGTTTTAAATAATTCTAATTAATTTTAATCAATTTTCATTAATTTTCTTAGCTTTATTTAATTTGATTTTAATTACTTTTAAATAAATTTTAATTAATTTTAATTAATATTTATTAACTAGGGTGGGTTTAATTAATTTTAATTCAATTCAATTTAATTAAATTAATTTTTAATTTTTCATTTTAATTAATTTTATTACTTTGAATTATTTTCCTTTTAAAATTTTAATTCGTTTAATTATTTTACTTCAATTTTTTGAAAGAATTTAATTAATTTTACTTAAATTTTTTCATGATGTTGATTGATTTTTAATTAATTTTGAGTTAATTTTAATGTCTTTTAATAATTTTGCGGGAGGGGGTTATGTAATTAATTTTAATTAATTTTATTAATTTTCAATTAATTTTTAATCACTTTAATTACTTTTTAATTATTTTACTTAATTTCAATTAATTTTATTAATTTTAATTAATTTAATTAATTTTAATTAATTTTAATTAAATTTGCATAATTTTAATAAGTTTATTATTTTCAGTAATTTCTTATATGAACTAAATTACATTCATTTTAATTATTTTAATTTAATTAATTTTAATTAACTTTATTTATTTTAATTAATTTTAATTTATTTTATTAGTTTTAATTACTTTTAATGAATCTTAATTAATTTTACTCCATTTGAATTAATTTTAACTAATTTAATTACTTTTAATTATTCTTAATTCCTTTTAAAATTATTTACAATAATTTTAAGTTTTCATTTATTTTAATTTTTAATTTCATTAAAATTTTAAGTAAATATTAATTAAATTTAATTAATTTTAAGTTTAATATTCAGTTTTAATCCATTTATTTAACTTTGATTAAAATTCTAATTAATTTTAAATTAATTTTTAACAAAATTTTTAATTATTTTTAATTTATTTTAATTAATTTTAATTACTTTTAATTACTTTAATTACTTTTAAATCATTTGTAATTTAACTTGATCAATTTAAATCATTTTAAAGGCAATGTTAATTTATTTTTTTTTATTTCATTTAATTCCTTAATTTCAATTTTGTAAAAAAAAAAACTTAAATTAATTCAATTTTCAATAAATTTAAAATGACTACAATTAGTTTCATTAATTTCATGAATTTTTAACTACTGTTTAACTAATTTTTTATTAATTTCAATTATTTTTCAATTAATTTCCAATTAATTTCAATTATGTTGAATTAATTTGATTAATTTCAATTATGTAATTAATTTCAAAATGAATTTCATTAATTGGAAATATTTCAATTAATTTTAATTAATTGTAATTAATGTTAATTATTTAAAATTAATTTTAATGAATTTTAATTATTTTAATTTAATTAATTTTAATTAATTTTAATTTTATTTATCACTTTAAATACAATTTAAATTATAAGTTTTAATTAATTTAATTATAGTTTAATTAATTTTAATTATTCTAATAAAATTTAATTAATATTAATTAAGTTTAATTAATTTTAGAACTACAATTTTTAAATAATTTTCAATAATGTTTAAATATTTCAAATTTAATATTCAATAATTTTCAATTACTTTCAATTAATTTCAATTAATTTCATTAATTTCAATTAATTTTCATTAAGGTAAATTAATTTTAATTATTTAATCTAAATTTTAAAATCATTTTTTAATTAATTTAATTAATTTAATTACTTTAATTAATTTTACTAATTTTAATTAATTTTAATTATTTTATTATTTTTCAATTCATTTGCTACTTTTTCGTTTTAAATATTAAATTTTTATTTTACTTTTCATTTTTACAAATTTTGATTAATTTTATTACCATTTTCATTAACTATACTTAATTTTTAATTATTTTAATTTTTAAGTTTTAAATAAAATTTTTTATTACTTTTCATTTTTAAATTTTGATTACTTTTATTCTTTTAATTACTATTAATTAATTTTTAATGAATTTATTTTCATCATTAATGTTAATTTTTAATGACTTTTATTAATATTTTATCTTGTTCATTAATTTGAATTAATTGATCAATTTTTTATTAATTTTACTTAATTTCATTACTTTCCCTTAATTTCAATTATGTCAAGTTTAACTACTGTAATCACTTTATCATGAATTTTACTTGAAAACACAAATTTTTTTTTTTTTTTTTTAAATCCTTGTATTAATTTATGTTATTTTAATTTATTTTAATTTAATTTTAATTAATTGTAATTTTCATTTTATTTTTAAAATTTAATTACTTTTAATTTTATGAATTCTTTTACAAATTATAGAAATTCTGTTAAATTCCATTAAATTAATGAAATATTAAAATTAAAACATTAACATTAATTAAATTAATCGAAATAAAAATTAAATTTATTGAAATTAAGTTCAAATTAATTAAAATCAAAATGCAACTTAAAATTAATTAAAATTATTAAAAATTAAAAATTAAAATTAATTAAAATTAATCGAAATTAA